TAAATTTTAGTATTGGGATGTGCTTGCTTTACAAGATGAATTGGGAAGTTTTTCATTTTTCCCCCTGGTCAATATCAGTTGAAAGAATGTAAAATCTGTTTATGTGAAGTTTCAAAGAATTCAACCATGAAACCATTTAGCCTCAAGAATTTTTCCAGAAGTGATTTTTGTTTGTTTGTTTGTTTGTTTGTTTTGAGACGGAGTCTTGCTCTGTTGCCCAGGCTAGAGTGCAGTGGCCGGATCTCAGCTCACTGCAAGCTCCGCCTCCCGGGTTTATGCCATTCTCCTGCCTCAGCCTCTGGAGTAGCTGGGTCTACAGGCGCCCGCCACCTCGCCCGGCTAGTTTTTTGTACTTTTTATTAGAGACGGGGTTTCACCGTGTTAGCCAGGATGGTCTCGATCTCCTGACCTCATGATCCACCCGTCTTGGCCTCCCAAAGTGCTGGGATTACAGGCTTGAGCCACCGCGCCCAGCGTTTGTTTTTACAAATATTTCTTTTTCACCATAGATGCTGGTTTACTTAAGATTTTTTCTTTTGTCAGATTGGTAATTTATGATTTCTGAGAAAATTTCTATTCCATCCCCGTTTCTACTCCTGTCTCTCTCTAATCTATTCTCTAGCCAGTAAGCCATCACAACATTTAAAATTTCAGGTGGTCATCCGCTGCGTGAAAACCTCTGACAGTTTTCACTGATAGGTTATCATTGCTTTATGTCTCCTGGTCTATGAAGGCCTAACATGATCTGGTCCTAACTTCCACCTCCCACTTCCTACTGCCTTGCTCAGAGTGACAGGAGGGCCCCCAGAGGAGGAGCTAGCACAGGCATGCTGAGTACTGGATTTCATGCTGATTCTGGAAACAGCTCCATGCCAGTTTTAAAGGAGGCTTAATTGTTCTGGGAGTTTTGCTGACATAATACAGCTTGGCTCATGGGTGGTTCTTGTCCTTAGGCTTAAAAGTAGAACAGGCATTAATAAATGCCACAAAATGTCTTTGGTTGTGTTCAGCCAGTTCTTTTCCCAGAAGCAAAAAAGCACTGTGCTTAATTAAATTCAATCAATATTTTTCAAGGGCTTCTTATGGACAAGAGATTTTGCTGGACTCTGGGATATAAGTGAGGCAGACACAAACAATGTACCTCTATTGCAAGGCAAAGTAAAAGAGAATGTATTGATAGAATATGCTGGGTTATGCCACAGTAATGAAAATTTCAGAGGCTTATATCCACACAGGTTTATTGCTCAGTTGTGCTGATGTCCAGGTGGATTGGCTATGGCTCTGCTCTTTGTCATTTCACTCTGAGACCCAAGCAAGTTGAAAAGCCTCTATCTGGAAAATTTCTGGTGGTCATGGCAGGGAGAAAAGGCATGCTGGCCAACATGCAATCACTAAGACTTCGTTGAGAAGTAACACGTGCCACTAAAGATCACATTTTATTGGCCAGAGAAAATAGCATGATCAAGTCGGACATCAAAGGGGCAGGGAAGAATTAGGTTGAACCATATGAGATTGGCATTTTATGAAGTCAAAAGTGATTGACTGGCCAGGCACGGTGGCTCAAGCCTGTAATCCCAGCACTTTGGGAGGCCGAGACGGGCGGATCACGAGGTCAGCAGATCGAGACCATCCTGGCTAACACGGTGAAACCCCGTCTCAACTAAAAATACAAAAAACTAGCCGGGCGAGGTGGCGGGCACCTGTAGTCCCAGCTACCCGGGAGGCTGAGGCGGGAAAATGGCGTAAACCCAGGAGGAGGAGCTTGCAGTGAGCTGAGATCCGGCCACTGCACTCCAGCCTGGGCGACAGAGCGAGACTCTGTCTCAAAAAAAAAAAAAAAAAAAAAAAAAAAAGTGCCCAAAGTATCTCAATTGTGTTTGGTTTAACAAATATAATTCTTCTGGAAACGTGATTATTTGAATAGTGTAATCTACTCATAGTGGTACCAACAGAATTGCAATAGAAAATCTTATTAAGATTTACTTTCCTTTAATTCGAGATAGAAAATTTTATTCACTAATTCCATTTCACTTGAGATAGCCACAGACAACCAATCCTTCCACCTGTGGAAATGGGTAATAAAAGCAGAGGTGTCACATTAACCTTGTTTGCTGAATTTAGGGGCCATTGGTTTTAGATTCCAGCTTTGAGAGTCGTCTCAAATATAATTCTTCTATAGGGAGGGCAATGATTATTTGAATAGTGTAATCTACTCCATAGTGGTACCAACAGAATTGCAATAAGAAAATCTTATTAAGATTTTCTTTAAATTCGGATGAAAATTTTATTCACTAATTCCGCATTTCACTTGAGATAGCCACAGACAACCAATCCTTCCACCTGTGGAAATGGGTAATAAAAGCAGAGGTGTCACATTAACCTTGTTTGCTGAATTTAGGGGCCATTGGTTTTAGATTCCAGCTTTAAGGAGTCTGTCTCAATAAAAATGTGCCGTACTCTTGATATAGGCCAGGCTTTGTGCAACGTGCTGGGACAGACGGTGAAATGCACTGACAGACAAGGTCTGTCCTCAGGGGGCTGAGAGTCTAGTTCCTGCCCTGCTATCACGTGCAGATAACCAGTAAATAGGTGCTGTGGGGGGGTGGGAGAGGTTGAGGGAACTTAGGGTGTATTTCTAATGGAGCTCACACGATTGTTGGCCAAATTCATTTCTGTGAAGCTGCAGAACTCACAGCTGCTTGTTTCTTCAAGGCTAGCAGGAAAATCTCTCCAAGCTCAGGGCAAGCTTGAGCTCTCTTTTAAAGGGCTCACCTGAGTAGGCCAGGCCAACCTAGGCTACTCTTGCTTTTGATGAACTTGAAGGTAAACTGATTAGAGACTTAATCACAAAATCCCTCCATCTTTGGCACATGATGTAACCTGATCACAGAAGAGACATCCATCATATCCACAGGTCTTGCCCCTACTCAAGTGGACTGTGCAGGGCACGGACACCAAGAGTGGGAATCTGGGACGTGATCTTAGAATTCTGCCTGCTTCAGGGTTTCATTTTCAAAATTGTCACGGATCTTGTGGGTGTGTCTCCTTGTTGTTTTAGTCCATGTTTACCTGATGTCATTGGTCATTTGTAGATCTTTTGTGAAGTCTTCTGCCCAGAATTCGTTCTTAGTGGATTGCGTGCCTTTTTGTTTTTGAGTCTGCTAACCTGAATAGAAATTATTGGTTGGATACAAGTATTGTAACTATGTTCTCCCAGTCGATGGTTCCCCTTTTTGTCTTTGATAAACATAAATTCTTCATCTTAATTGTAGTATTTCTCATTCCTTTTTTTTTTTTTTTTTGGTAGTTGGTGGTTTTGTGTCCTGTTTATGAATCTCTTGCTTAGCCCAAGGTCATAAAAATATTCTCCCGCCTGGACCCTTTATCCTGGACCCTGCATTGATTTTGTTTTCAAATGTAGGTCTATGATCCACTTTGAATGAACTTTTATGACTTGTGCGTGTATGGGACTAAAGTTCATTTTGTTCTCTATATGATGAGTCAATTGATACAGTATCATTTACTGAAAAGACTATCCTCTCCCTATTGACTTGTGACTTTGACTTTGTTAAATAGGTGACTGGAGGTAGGCTCGAATCTGGTTTGGCTTCTTCTACTGCATGAATCTATTTGTTCATCTGTATACCAGTGCCAGACTGTCCTCACTATTGCCCGACCATGCTGTGATATCTAAACAGTGTCTTCAAAGAAATCTTGGGCATTGCCATCTCTCTAGAGAGGCCTCACTCCACTCTCCCAGCCCTAAACAACAAGAGATTGATTTTCTGTCTCTGTAGATTTTCCTGTTACACAGATTTCTTGTGAATGAAATCATATAGTATGTTGTCTTTTGTACCTGGCTTCTTTTATTTCCAACATGCTTTCAGGGATCACCATGTTTGCAAGACTGTGTCCTTGTGCAGGAAAGAGAAGCACCGACCAGGAGGACTGGGGCAGGTGAGATTGGGAAAAAGAAAGGGAGGGAATAAGCTGTGTCCAGACACTAAAAGGACTTGAAGGATCTTTTAAAAGAGATGTATACATGTAACAGGGAATTAGACAGCGTGGGAAAGCATCCGCTCTCTTAAAATATCAAAAAAAAAAAACCCACATAGATTTGGAACAAGCTGCTTGTATCCTTCGGTGTGGAGCATGTGGTCCTCACTCAGCTATGTGGCTGACCCACAGAAGGCAGTCACGGATGGAGCTTATAAAGGAAGGAGAGAGGCCCATACACTGAGTTCAGAGGCAGGAGAGGGTGAGTTTGAAGTGCTTGAGGAACACGGAGTGACCCCAGGAAGGAGCTGGGCCATGTTAGGTGGAGCTGAGAGAGGAGCCCCAGATTCAAGGAGAGTATGTCCAGGTAGTAGCTTGAATGGCACAGATGGAAAAGGATTTGGCTTTCTTTGTTTTCTTCCTTTGATTTTTAACTGCCCATCCCTCAGCAATATTAATGGTTAGTACAGAAAAGAAAAAGGAGAAATTATCACCCATCACCCCTCCACCCAGAATTAACCACAGTTAACACTGGGGCCCAGTTCCTTCCAGGCTGGAGTCTCAGAATCGCTTTCTTAACCAGGAGCAACGGTCTGCACAGCTTTATATCCTGCAATTTCTTGCTTAGTGTAAAAGCATTACCCTGGGATCCGATTTCCTTTTGCATCTCAAACCCGGGAAGTTTGGCCATTAGCAAGGATTTCCTGAATTTCCTTGGAATCATCAAAGCGGCTGGGCTTGGTCTTCCTGAAGCTTAGGGCTAGTTCTCGCTCCCCTCCTTTCAAGCTGCAGGTCTTCGTGAGAAGAAGGCGGATGCAATAGCAGAGACTTAGCTTTCAGGCCTCATTCCTCAAGGAGGTAATTGTTCCCTTTAAAGGAAGACAGAATTAACTGAGTGGCAGCACTAGATTAGGCCTGGGCATCCAGAAACTGCCCACAAGAAGTGGAGGCCAGTGGGAGACACACAAGTGTCTACAAGGCGAGGTGACAGAGCTCTCGGAAGGATGGAGAAGGGGCTGTGGCGGCTGGCCCAGTGGAAAAGTACCTCGACCATGATTCATCAGGGCAATGCTCCGTTGGTGCCAGGCCATCACCCCGTCTGGGAGTGCAGACAGCTGACAGCTGAAAGTCACATCAAGAATGGAATCAATTTTCAGGGAAGAAAGTAAATGAAAGTTAAGATAAAAATGCATTACTTCACTGCTATACCTTCTGCTGCAAGCATCTTTTTAGTACAAGCAACATGAGACTAGCGCCTGCTACGTGGCGAGTGCTGTCTGGGCACAGCGAGCAAGGCAGGCTCCTGCGCTAGGCAACTCCAAGCCTGACTGAGGAAGACAATGTGGTGGTCCACCGGGACATGGATTGGCTGATTAAATAAGGGTTATGAGTTAGACAAATAAAATACCTGGTGCTGCTGAATTTCACATCTCTAAGGACATTGCCCTGGCTCTAGACTAACTGGGTGACTGAAACGTGGATCCACGTAGTGTCAGTACACAGAAATGACCTGTGTGTGGTTCTCAGCCCTGCTGCTCACTGGAGTCCTTGGGAGTTCTTCAAATTAGAGACACTAACGATGCTCAGTCCCTGCCCCCTCCCCCTGGTTTTTAAAAATAGCTTTATTGTGATACAATTCAAATAAAATACAATCTACCCATTTAAAGTATACATTTCAGTGGTTTTTAGTATATTCATGGATAAGGACAACCATCAATACAGTCAAATTTTTTTTTTTTTTTTTTTTTTTTGAGATGGAGTCACCCAGGCTGGAGTGCAATGGCATGATTTTGGTTCACTGTAACCTCTGCCTCCCTGGTTCAAGCGATTCTCCTGCCTTAGCCTCTCGAGTAGCTTGGATTACAGGTGTGTGCCATGACACCCAGCTACTTTTTGTATTTTTGGTAGAGATGGAGTGTCACCATATTGGCCAGGCTGGTCTCAAACTCCTCAAGTGATCTGCCTGGTTTGGCCTCCCAAAGTGCTGGGATTACAGGCCTGAGCCACCAAGTCCAGCCAACACAGTCAATTTTAAAACATTTTCCTTATCTCAAAAAGAAGCCCCATACTATTTAGCTATTATTTTTATTTTCTATTAAATTTATTTTTCCTTTCTTTTTTTCTTTTTTGAGATGGAGTCTGGCTCTGTCACCCAGGCTGGAGTTCAGTGGCTCAGTCTCGATTCACTGCAACCTCCGCCTCCTGGGTTTAAGTGATTCTCCTGCCTCAGCCTTCTGTGTAGCTGGCATTACAGGCACACACCACCACGCCCTGCAAATTTTTGTATTTTTAGTAGAGACAGGGTTTCACCATGTTGGCTAGGCTGATCTGGAACTCTTGACCTCAAGTGATCTGCCCGCCTTGGCCTCCCAAAGTGCTGGGATTACAAGTGTGAGCCACCGTACCTGGCCAACTATTTTAAAAATTTTTAAGAGACTGAGTCTCACTTTGTCACCTGGTCTGGTGCAGTGGCAGGATCATGGCTTACTTCAGCCTTAAACTCCTGGGATCAAGCAATCCTCCCACCTCAGCCCCCTGAGTAACTGGGAAAACAACTGTGCACAGTCACTAAACTAAAACAAAAACTTTTATTATTATTATTATTTTTTTGTAGGGGTGGGTTTTCATTATGTTGCCTAGGCTGGTTTCAAAGTCCTGGCCTCAAGCAATCCTCCTGCTTCATTCTCCCAAAGTGCTGGGATTACAGGCATGAGCCACTGTGCCCAGCCTCTGGCCACTCTTCTAGCCCTAAGCAAGCAGGAATCTATTTTCTGTCTCTGTAGATTTTCCTGTTATACACATTTCTTATGAATGAAATCATATAATATGTCTTTTGTTTCTGGCTTCTTTCATTTAGCACCATGCTTTCAGGGTTCACCATGTCGTAGTGGGTATTTTATTCTTTTTTATGGCTGAATAGTATTTCATTTTATGGATATGCCATAATTTATCTGTTATCAGTTGATGGACATTTGGGTTGTTTCTACCTTTGGGCTGTTATGAATAGTGCTGCTGTGAACATGTGTGTTCCAGTTTCTGTGTGGACACATGTTTTCCTTTCTCTTGGGTAGCTACCTAGGAATGGAAATGCTGGGTCATACGTTGACTCTGTTGGAAGAACTGCCAGACTGTTTTCCAAAGCAGCTGTACCATTTTACATTCCCACTAGCAGTGCATGAGGATTCTGATTTCTCCACATCCTTGCCGATACTTGTTATCATCTGACTTTTTGATTCTGGCTACCCTAGTGCCTATGAAGTAGTATCTGAGTGTGGTTTTGATTTGTTGATTTGCTGATGACTAAAGATGCTCAGCATCTTCTTATGTGCTTATTTGTGCTCTTAGAGTTTTTAATTCAGTTGATCTGGAGCAGTTTTTTTTTTCCTTTTATTTTTTATTTTTTTGAGACAGAGTTTTTCTCAGTCACCAGGCTGGATGGAGTGCAGTGGCACAATCTCGGCTCACTGCAACCTCTGACTCCCTGGTTCAAGCTATTCTCCTGCCTCAGCCTCCCGAGAAGCTGGGATTACAGGCCCGCACTACCATGCCCAGCTAATTTTTGTATTTTTAGTAGAGCCAGGATTTCACCATGTTAGCCATGACGGTCTCGATCTCCTGAACTCGTGATCTGCCCACCTCGACTTCCCAAAGTGGTGGGATTACAGGCGTGAGCCACGGCGCCTGGCTTATTTTTTCCTTTAAAAAAGTGTTTGGCTGGGAGTAGTGGTTTACACCTGTAATCCCACACTTTGGGAGGCCAAGGCAGGAGGATCACTTGAGCCCAGGACTTCAAGACCTGCCTGGGCAACATAGCAAGACCCCATCTCTAAAAAAAAAAAAAAAAAAGGAAATTAGCCAGGTGTGGTGCTGCACACCTGTGGTCCCAGCTCCTTGGAAGCCTGAGTTGGGAGGATCACCTGAGCCCAGGATTATGAGACTGCAGTGAGCCATGATCATGCTACTGGACTCCAGCCTGGGTGACAAAGTGAGACCCAGTCAAAAAAAAGAAGGGGGGGGGGGGGGGGGCCCGAGCGTGGTGGCTTATGCCTGTAACCCTAGCACTTTTGCAGGCAGATTGCTTGAGCTCAGGAGTTCAATACCAGCCTGGCAACATGGCAAAACCTGGTCTCTATGAAAAATATAAAAAATAGCTGGGTGTGGTGGTGCACATCTGTAGCTGTAGTCCCAGCTATTTGGATGGCTGAGGTGGGAGGATCACCTGGGCCTGGGGAGGGTGAGGCCACAGTGAGCTGTGGTCGTTACCACTGCACTCCAGCCTGGACAAGAGAATGAGACTCCATCTCAAAAAAAAAAAAAAAAGTTTTTTATTTTGAAATAATTTTAGGTTTAGAGAAAAGTTGAAAAATAGTAAAAAACAAACAACAACCTCCCCGCCCCCGCAAAAAAAAACCTCTCATTTACCCTTAACCCAGATTTCCCGAATGCTTACCACCCTTGCTACATCATTCTAGTTCCTGGAAACATTTAAAGCATGTGAAACATTTAAAACATTTAAGTTGCAGGCTTTAAGCTGCACTTCCTTTACTTCTAAATATTTCAGTGTTTTTCTTGAAAAAAAAAATTGTTCTCATACCACAGTAACACGATCAAAATTGGAAAATCAACATTGATTCAATACTATAATCTACAATCAAGTTTCTTTTTTTCCAAATCCCTGGGTCTCAGCATTTTTTTTTAAAGCTTCACAGATGATTTCAATGGATACTAGGGAACTCTGTTGCCTCCTCTGGCAGAGCGGGACTGACAGGTGGACCCTCCCTGAGACCACCCAACAATTTAAGGTGGAGTTATCAGGGCGCCTGACTCCTGGGGGCATTTTTGTGTGATGGGAAAAGACAGTGCTCCTGGCTGAGTGAGATGGCAGCTGGCTTGGCAAGGGGATAGCACCTTTGTCACCACGTCATGTTTTTGTACTCTACGTGCTGCACCTACACCCAGGACCAACGGTAACTGAGGCGGAGGGGAAACGAGGGCCTGAGATGGCAAGTGTGTCCTCCTCGGTGGTTCCTGTGTCCTTCATTTCCACCTGCGAGAGTCTGTCCTGGACACTGGAGTTGGTGGAGAAGGAGCCAGTGACAGGCAGAGGAGCTAACTGTCTTTATCACACTCCAAGATCCCAGCTGCTAAAATCCACACCGAGCTCTACTTACCAGCCTTCTTCTCTCTTGCTGGAACCTCCTCTGTACTCAGACCAGCAGCCTTAGCACCACCTCACACTGGTAAGAAATGCAGATGATCAGGCCTTACCCCAGATCTATTAAATCAGAAATTCTGGAGTGGCGCCCTGCAGCTTGCATTTTAACCAGGCTTCAGGTGCTTCTGATGCATGCTCAGGTTTGAGCACCCCTGGCCACAGGGAGGCCGAGGCAGGGCCCAGGGTCAATTCAACCCTCCTCTGGTTGAATAGCTGGAGAGTTGGGAATATCAGTAAATATTTCCAATGCACCTGCTACAAGCCAGAAAAAGGAACAAGAAGACACAGTAGGTCTGAGAAAGTGATGGGGTGAGCAGAAACCCAAAGCCCATAGAAGGCCATCCGAGTGGCCCCTCGAGTAGGTGAACTGGCTTTAGGGTTTACTGAAGGAGGTGGAAACCTCAGCCTGCTTCTTGTCTGGGTTGTTACAGGAGTCCTTTAGAAAGCTGTACCATTCTTTCAATATTCTCCCTACTTTCCAATGCTCATTTTTCCTGCTCATTTCTGGATTAAAAAAATGCCTTGGCTGTATGAGTAAGAAAACAACCATGCAAGTTTGTAGAGAAAGAATCTGGGTCTTCTAGGTCACGTTGGTTTAAATCTTGGACATCAAGCACCTTAGAGACCATGTTGCCAAATAAGCTTAGTAAATGCTTTCTAATGCTTACGGAACTGTGGCGCTTTGTGCTTGCTGTAGTACTATATAATTAGACAAATGAAAGAACTCAAAGGTTGAGCCCCTTCCCTCTCTTAATTTTTTCTTTTTTGTTTATAAGCAGATTTAAAATTCTGGCTCATAATGTCCTTGATTCAATGTTAAACCATTTTGCCTAAATGGCAGCAAGTTCTAAATGTGAGGGCGCTCAGCTTTTCAAGCTGCTCTTGAATGACAGAAAATTGACAAGCTGTCATTCAAGACCTTTTGGTAGCTGCCTGGGGCTCTGTTTGAATTGTATCTGTCTGATACTTTGCCATGGAGAGTGAAAAATTTGATCACATGCCATGCTTTTAATTTTCTAAAGCAAATATGTTGGAAGGAGCCAATTAATGCAAAGATGGACTGCTGGTCTCATGCAACTGATTTAGGGGAAAGGTTTGCCTAAATTAATAAAAGATCTGAATTATAGATCTTAACAAATACATAGAATTTAGAGGCTTAAAAAGAAACTGGGCAGCAGCAGGCCTGGGGTTGGCTTTTAAGTATCCTTATTTAACTAATAGATATGAATGTTTTGATATTAGAAATGCTAGTACTGGAGCCTCTGAGCCTACTCTGGCTTGAGAGGCTGCCCTATCTAAAAAACAAGAAAAAAGAAAAAAAGAAATGCTGGTACTGTAATTCTAAAGTGCTTCAGAAATTCTCAAAAATAGGCCAGGCATGGTGGCTCACAGCTGTATACCAGCACTTTGGGAGGCCAAGGTGGGCAAATCACTTGCGGTCGGGAGTTGGAGACCAGCCTGGCCAACATGGTGAAACCCCATCTCTACTAAAAATACAGAAATTAGCCAGGCATGGTAGCAGGTGCCTGTAATCCCAGCTACTTGGGAGGCTGAGGCAGGAGAATCGCTAGAACCTGGGAGGTGGAGGTTGCAGTGAGCCGAGATCGCACCACTGCACTCCAGCCTGGGCAACAGAGTGAGACTCTGTCTCAAAAAAAAAAAAAAAAAGTTCTCAAAAATATTTTGAGAACCTTTGCCCTATTTTTGAAGGAGGGGTCTATATTAAAGAGATCATACAGAAATAATTTAATTGTTACAAAACGAATGGAATGTCTTTACTTTTTACCCGATTGAGTTACATTAACTGCATCTTCAATTTTTCAAGTGCTCCTCAACCTAAAATATAGTCATGTGTCTGTATTTAAAAATGCATATTATTAAATCTATTTTGTTTTTCAATCTATCATCCACACTGCAGCAAGGCGATTCTGCCAAAACATATCTCCTTAAAAGCCAACTGGAGCTTCTCATCAGCATCAATGTGAAGCCAAAAATCCTTAGGAGGACAGAGGGAGTCCCTCACAACATAGACCGGTCCCCTTCCCTCCAGCTGCCTGGACTGTCCAAAGGACTCTCTTCCCACCTGCGGCCACACTGCACAACTTGGAGTTTCCCCAGCTGCGTGGACTCATCGCGTCACCACCAACTGGATGCATCTTCTGCTCTGTGCAGCTGGTAAAATCTTTCTCAACCCTTGAGATGCAGCCCAATCTCCTCGTAACATCTGGATTCCTCTCTGTCACTGCATTCCCTCCTGTCATCCTGCCTTTGTTTTCTTACCCTCCTCTCTCTCCTGTGTGATGGGCATTAATTAAAATTAAATAAAAATTCAGATCATCCTTGTACTTGCTGCATTTCAAATGCTCGGCAGTCACATGCAGTTAGTGGCTACCCTCTTGGACAGCACAGATAGAGATTATTTCCATCACTGCAGAAGATTCTAGACTTTGAACTTCTTGAGGACAGGGGCTTGATCATTCGACACTGCTTTACAGTGTCTAGCAGTGTCTGCCCTGTAGCAGGGGCTCAGGAAATTTTTCCTGAACCAAACCTAACTGAACTGATGCGGGTTTGTCATCAGGGTGTACCTTCTGTTAAAGGAGGTTATGATTTCTGATGCTGGGGTGACCAGAGGGGATGGGAGTGGGCCTGGCACTCGGAGGAAAGGGGGCAAAACCAGCTGAGAAGTCATCCTTTACTTGCTGGCATGGCCCCAGCCAGGGTTCTGTTGCTACGGGAGAATGGATGAGTAGGAATGGATTATATCACCCTGGATATAGAAGACAACCTGGCTTGAGGGGCATGGGGGACATTGGAAGTCAGGGTAAGAAACTTGGACTTCATTCTACCGGCATGGAGAGTTCCTAGAAATTAATGAGCAGTAGAGTGATAGGATAAGCTTATAGGAGGAGCCAAAATTTTTAATACAGCTCCTTAGATCTTAGATCTTGTGACTTAGGAAAGGCAATAGGAGCCCCTGAGCATTCTGGGTCCTTCGTACATTTGGGAGAACAGAGGCCCAAAGTGGGAAATCATCCTCCTCCGGGGCAGCACAGTCATGGCTGCTCCATTCCTATTCAGAAGCCTCGTTTCCTGATTAAGGCCCTGGCAGCTGTGGTGTTTCATTGTTCATTATTCATGAATAGACTTGGCCCTGTTCAGAACTGAAGCTTCAATGCTGCAAATGAGGGCTGCAGAGAGGATGTTGGGGAACTCGCCTGTTTGGCTTCAAAACTGCCCCCTTTTCTCTGGAAAAATCCTCTCTAGAATACTGTGCCAAGGCTTGGTGAGTGAGAAATGAGTTTTCATGATGTATCAAAAGAAAAATGCTTCTTTTAAGAAAACGTCTTTATAAATGGCAGCAGGCGGGGAAGAATCTAAAAGACAGAAAGAGCAGTGCTTGCAGGTTGAAAGCATTACCTCCAGATATGGGGACATTAGGACTAAGGGAAGGTCAGTGATGGGTCCACGAGGCCAGGTTTCAATGGGTTTACCATTTCCTTCTTTGTGTGCCCACCGATGGACACACGTAGGCACACACACCAACAGCCTCCCATGTGGACGGTCCAGGGTGCCCACAACCCTTCCAGCAAGACTTTGATTTCTCTGTTTCAAAGGATTTCTTGAGGCCCCTCTGTAGAGCTGCTTGTCTTCTTCACGACCCGTGCTTGGGTCAGGGCAGGTGGAGTGAGCTGCACTAACAGCTAGGAGATGATCCTGTGATCTCATTGTGCAGTGGTCCTGCCAGGTTGCTCTTTCTGAAACCTTGGGTATTACAACTTCTGCTTCTTAGGGACCACTTGGTCCCCCAGTCCTCCCCCTGCTGACTCCCTTCCTGGTGAAGCCACCAGCATGGCTCTCAGGGTGGTGCTGTCTTCCTTCTCTAGAACAGCCACGTGGCCCCATGGCTTGCACTTACTGGTTACTGTGGTTACAAATGCCTCTTCTAGGCTGTGAACCATTAAGGAGTGGGTCCAGTTCAGCCAACACTTCCTCAGGGATTTTAAGTAGCTGGGGGTCCCCCCGAATCTCCATCACCCTCTTGCCCATTCTCCATCCCCTCCCCCACCACACATACACTCTACTCCCCCAGTGCTGAATAACTTGCCAAAGCATGGTGCTGGCACTGGGGCATTCAGGGGTGAAGAAGATGGGGCCTCTGCCCTGGGGAGGAGGTGATGAGGGGAGGAACAGCAGCACAGAGGGTGGGAGGCAGAGGAAATGGCACTGAGTGGGGGCACAAGGATGGAAGAGGAGCATGCTAGATGGGACGACGGGACCCAGCACTGACCAAACAGAAGCTTGTGGGTGGCACGTCAGTCACTCCAGGGAGAGATGCAGTCACTGCCATTTTCCTAATGAAACTCCTCCAGTTATTAAAGGCCCAGAGTCACAGACTTAAGGACCAGAAGTGGGATTTGAACCCAAGTCCCCCAGATGACAGGGTTCCTACTTGCTTCTCTAGGTCACATTAGCCCACGCCGGAGGGGAGGAGGGGTGTTTCAGGAAGAGAGGAGATGTGGGCAAAGGCACAGAGACCGTAAGCAGAAAGGTATGTTCCAGAACATGCAAGTTATTCAGCACTGGGGGAGCAGAGTGTATGTGTGGTGGGGAAGGGGTGGAGAATGGGTGAGAGGGTTGTGGAGACTCAGGGGGACCCCCAGCTACTTAATTCCCCGACAGGGAGAGAGCTTAGAAACTCCCTCCACCTCCCGCAAAGCAGTGGGGAAGCTGCAGCCACACTGTTTTCGGTGGGCTCATTTCCTCTGCAGTCTGGCTGCTCAGAGGGATGGTGGAGGATGGGGTTTGCAGGCAGGCACGGCCAGTTTGGAAGGTGTACTGGCTCCAGCACTCAACTTGTGGCTGACACTCAGGGAAGTCACCCTTTCTGGCCCTCAGTTTTCTCCTCTGTAAAATAAGGGAATTCGACAAAAATAAGTTGTCACCAATTTATTCACCACTACGTGTCCTTTTAATTCGTCTGCCCCAGGACTACAGTGGGGAGAGTCT